GGGGGGGGGTCCTGTAACCATCATGACCCAGCGAGCAGCTCTCTTCGCGGGGCATCTGCCTCCACTTGTCCCGCTGTGGCGGAGCTGGGTGGGAAGATGGAGAGCCTGCCTCCCAGCCGCCAGAACCAAATGAACCAGCCTAATTCTCCCCCAGCCCTTGCCTGACTTTTTGTGGCTGTTGTTGTAATTGTGGCTCTTTTTAAATACCCTGCGGAACAAAATGGGATGCGCATGGAGTTGGGGGGAGGAGAAGAGACACAACAGGGAAAGGGTCTCTGCCCTCCTGTATGGAAAGAGCCTCCTGTTGTCTGGTCGATGCCCAGTAGTTCAGCTCTGAGTGTAAAACAGGGGAGCAAATCGGGAGGAGAAATATGCAGTCAAAACAAGCCTTTCCCCGTATAGAGAGATGGGTGTAAATACCTCGGGACTGATCGATCTATCCATCCCTGCATCCACCCGGCTGTGCATCTGTCCGTGCACTCGCCCAAACTCTTCACCCAGGTAGATAATACCCGAGTTCACCTGCATTTCTCAATGCACGCATTTACCTGCTTTTTCCCTTCTCATCCGCTTCCCTTCCCCTTGCAACTGGCTCGATCCCAAACGTAAAGGCGTCCCCTCATCCCTTAGGAATATCGGAATATTGGGGGGGGGGGGGTTACAGTCCGAAGTTAAATAAAAGTACCGTGTTTCCCTCAGCACAACCCAGTTGCTCCGGACATTTGGGTAGATCTGCCTGTAATTCCTGCCCTTCCTTCCTTCCCCTGATTTTTTTTTGGCCCATTCCCACATGCGAGGGTGTTTTTCCCTTTACACAGAAGGGTCGGAGACCCGAAAAACCCTGAAGTTAGAAGAACTAAGAGATCCCCCCCCACCAGCTCCCTCCCTCCCTCGCGGTAAAATATCTTTTTATTGTATTTGCCTAACTCATGAAAGAAAGAGAGAAATAGAAAGAGGGAGAAAGAGAGAAAGGAAGGAAGAAAAGCCGGGGGGAGGGGGGAAAGAAAGAAAACAAAATAAAACTTCAGCCTTCACAAAATCATAAAATGTCCTCGATCCCCGAGGAGAAGGTGGGGGGAAAACTATGACTCCTTGACTTTCTCCATTAAAATTCAGCAAATAATTTTATACGCTCTGGGCTTTTTTCTTCTTCTCCTTCTTCCATTTTCCACAAGGATCTCCTTATGTTACACCCCTCAAAAAAAAAAAAAAGTGCCATTCACTCCTTAGCCCAACTAAAACCTATTTACTCCTTTTTATAACCACGTCTGCTGCTGATTTTTTTGTATCTGGACAAATTTTTTTTCTTTGCCAGGCACAAAGCCTTGTATTTTTCAAAAGAGGGGATTAGGAACGTTTGCAAGGCAGCAGACAATGCTTAAATCCCGTGCAAAAGAGCACCATAGTTTATCCAATTTTCGACTTAGTGCCATTCAACTGGTCATTTATGCAATGTCATCCGACCAAACAACATGTTTCCCCTAGAAAAAAAAAATGGGTAAGCCGCTGTATCCAGATTCATTTTTTGTTTTAATCTAAAAAAAAAAGGAATAGAAAAAGAAACGTTTAAAAATAGGGCACAAATGAACAGATTTGCTCCATCTAGCAATCCTGCCTGGTTTTGCGATTTGTCTTTTTCTTTCCCCCCCTAACATCTTAGGACTTTGGGTCCCATTTCCACCCTTCCCTTTGCAAAGAAAACCCGGGGTGTAGAAAAGACACATCGGGGCCGGGCACGTTTTGCCGCGTGGGTTTTAGTCGCGTCTCCCCAAACTTCGACGCTTGTCAGTTTCCCCGCGGCTTTAATTGTCCGCCGACCCGGTGGCGACGTGAAATTGCCAGAAATGGACCCGAGTCCTTTAAAAAACAAAAATCTGGGGCTGCCCCGTCTTCCCTTCTCCTTAGCCTTTCTTTTGAAACCCTTCATCAGCATATGCCTCATTTCAAATGCAACAAATGTAAATATACTTTTCCCTGCACAGAATTTTAAGTGAAAGTCCAATAGTTTCGAGGGCGGTTTAAGTCAGGCTAACAGATGCAAACAGTCTTGGGGCTGAAGTGGCATCTTTGAGTCCCCTAAAAAGATTTTCCATGGACAACAAAGAAAACTGTCACACCTTTTCCCATCACCGCTTTAATTTATGCTCAGTCGCCAAGTTTTTTTCATATTGATTTCATAATCACTTTAAGGCAGAACACTTAAAATAAAAAAGGGCCTTGAAAAGGAGGGTTTTACAGGGCCAGCGCCAATATGGCGAAACTGGGGGAGAGAGCCAGGACTGTAAAGGTTGTTTTGTAAAGTGGGGTTTTTATTATGCGCCGACTCTCTCCGCATTTACTTAACTCTTCACGGGCTGTTGAGTAGGTTAACACCCTTAAAGGCCTCTTTCATGTCCAATACCTCGTTTGTTTGTAAAGGAAAATGCGTCTTTAACACATTTCCACTGGACAAAGATTTAGGGGGTTGTTTTTTCCTTCTCATCAAGATAGAGATTTTTTTTTTAAATCTGTCTTAAACTTGTTAGGATTCCTTTAACAATATTTCTAAAAGAGGAGCAAGACGTAAAAATAAAAAAGGGTAAGTAAGAGAAGTCTAGACATAGAGAGCCCCGTTCATCTGTAGCCCAAGGCATATGGCTAGTCTATTGACAACTTTGCACATGCACGTGTATGTATACCGCGTCCAAGGCACGCACACAGATATGTGTACCCACGGACGCAAGCACACATATAGATCCACTTTGTATGTGCATGTGTGCATTTAAAGATGTATTTGCAGAATTATCAGCTGTATTGTTACCCAGGATGTGATTTGGGGGGAATGGAGGGATGAATACATGCATCAATACATAACTGGATAAATACATGCATGCATAGACATCTCTCTCTCTATATATATATAATATACATATTCTTTTGAGAATTGTTTCTGTACGCTACATGTGTGTATAAAAAACGCATGTATATATACGTATATTTGCACTATATGTAGTGTAGATTGGGGTATATATATGTGTCTATGTGTTTATAGATAGATAGATAGATAGATAGATGTATATGCATGCGTGTGTGTATACGTGTGCACACATACAACACACAGCGTTTGATTACACAACGTATGTATATACACACAGTTGCTAAATGAATGATCGCTCTGTGTTCAAAGGAATACTTTTTGGTCTACCGGTTTAATTTGACTCTTCAGGTAAAAATCAAAAGGAAAGGAGGTCGGAGCTGCCAGGGGTTTTTTTCCTGCCAAAAAAAAAAGATCCATTTCCAGGATAGTAACAGTTTCCACGTCGGTATTGCCATGTTGTACTGCTGTGGCAGGCAATTTTGAATCTGATCTTAACACTGGGTTGGGGAAATATGATCCTAACTGCTGTTATTGCCTGGGGTCCGGGCTGAAACAACTGCTGCTCGAGCTAGTGAATTCTGCTCTCTTTTTGTGTCTGTATCTGATTTTTGTCTTTCCTATTATTTAAGAGCTCAGTGGAGGCCCAGTGTGGGCTAGTCCTGAACGGCCAGGGAGGGGTCATCAGGAGAGGTAAGTGGGCTTGGAAATACATTTTTTTCTATTTATATATATATAGATATATACATGTATATATAGAAATAGCTTATCTGTCTGCCTCGCATCTCGGTGTCCGAGTACGAGTATAGAAAAAGCGACCAATGGTTTCCATGTCAGCAGCAGGACATTGTAACCAGCGGAAGCAGCTGATGGTTCTTGGGGACAGCAGAAATGTGCCACCAGCCCATCGCCCCACAAACCCGCGCACACAGCTCACTCCAGGTTTCTGCTGGCTGCCGGGCTTTCCCCCTTCCCCCGGCAGGTTCCCGATTTTGGTTTAGACATGTTGTCTCCGGCTCCGGTTTGTGAAACCTGCAGCTTCATGTCTTAGGGAGAGAGCGAGAATTAGGGAAAGGTTCATGCCCTGAACAAGGCAGAAACCCGCCTTGACCAACGCGAGTGAACTCCGTTCCGTCTGTCCGAGGACATAGCCGAGGTGGAAGTGAGATGGACGACTCCGTCCTCTTCTCCGGACTCCCGGGCCGTAGGAAAAACACGTGGATGGATTATTTCTATTGGAAAGAGGAGGGAGAAAGTAGGCTGTATTGCCTGACAGCCCATGGGGTCAACCCGAATATAGAAACAAGCGAAGCCCTAATGGGAGGCTTTTGATCCATAATGAAACCAGCAACGTTGTGCAAATCCAGCTTCTGCTTTGTATTCATTTTCCTGTCCCCTTAATTATTCACTTCCCTGATTCATAAGGCTCATTGTGGAAGCTATATAATACGGAATAGATCCGGTTTCCCCCCTTCCTCTCCCGGGCCAGTTTTAGACTTACATGATGTGTAGAAAAATACCCCCTGATCTTAAACTAATTGCAACTACTGTAGTTTCTTTTCTTTTTTTTTAATTGAAAAGGAAAGGAGGAATACCTCCTGATCTTAAACTAATTGCAACTACCTTGGTTTCTTTCTTTTTTTTTTAATTGAGAAGGAAAGGAGGGTGGGGAGAGGTGCAGGTAGAAAACCCAGCTTCCGATCTTAGAGGCTGATCTATCCGGGCTCTGAAGACGCCTGGCTGATTAGGTGCAGCGACTGCAAACCGGTTTTGTCGAGCGAGGGGGAGAAATTTGGCCGACAAATACAAGAGGGTGGGAGAAGGCTTGGCTTGAGCGCGATGGGGTTTCTTGGCATGGTGTTTATTCCGCAGCCGGGTTTTGTCTGAGCAAGGGCGGCCCTGCATGGCCGGGCCGGATGCTTTTAGGATACGGGGGCTGGAAGAAGGAGCAGGGAGCAGTGGTGGGAGCGGAGGAGGGAAGGGGGCGAGGCTCCGGGTGGTGCTGAAGGGACAGCTCCGCCGCGGCCCCCGCGCCCTGCCCGGCTCTGCCCTGGCTGCTCTCCCCTTCCCTCTCCCTCGTGCGTCCCCCTCTCCTCCTGCAAAGAGACAGGACTGTCGCTCCCGGGAATGAGGGTGACACCCAGGCAGCAGCCAGGGGGATAACACAGGAGAAAAGAGCGGGGCACCCGTTGGACACAAAAGGAGCGAGCTGGAAAGTGTGGGTGGGTTGCATGGGCTGTGTGGGAGCGAGGCGCTGTGTCGTGTGAATCCGCCTCGCGATTCAGTGGCTCTTACTTATCCCTAAGCAAGTGCTTCCGTTTGGGAGCAAGTCTGACCCGCAGGAAGATGCATCGTGACTGCAGAGAGGGAGACAGGCTGAGTCCCCATAAAGCCGGGTTTCTGTCTGGGCTGTTGACTCGGCTCTAATCCCGCAGCGCCCAGGCCTCGTGCCGGGCTCCCCGGCTCTTGCTAAGGCAGCTCCAATTACCTGTGCCTGATTGTAGTCAAGGCTCCCTCTTTTTTTCTTTTTTTTTTTTTGTTTAAAGCGATCACATTATTCAAGGATTTAAAGACTGATAGCAAAGGCAATCCAGCATGAAAATGTAGGCGCTCCTCTCCCCTGATCTAAGCGCTGGGCGGCTTCTGCACCTCTTGGCGGAGGCAAGGGGAAGCTATCAAAGGCGAGCCTCTGCCTTTCCAACGTGTATTAAAAATACATGATAAATATTTTGTCCGACTTCAAACCACGAGATAGGCGTTAGCAATAATCCAGCCCTCCCGTGCCTCAGCGCCGTACCCTATTTCCCATAAATAAATCAGGCTTCTTTTCTCCTAATACTTTCAAGGAGAAGATATTCAACCCTTCTTTTCTCCTGATACTTCAAGGAGAAGATATTCAACCCTTCTTTTCTCCTAATACGTCAAGGAGAAGGTACTCAACCCGGAGCTGGGCTTCCTAATATTTTAGGTCTCGTGTCAGATGCTCCCCCCCACCACCACCCGTCTTTGGCACTAATAGAAACGTATGATTTTGTTTCTAAATGAGGGTTGCTAGTGTTTTTTTCACGGGATAGGAAAGACAGGAAGACGGAAGGGGAAAAAAAGGATATTAAAGTTTCCCTTGGAAGAAAAAAAAGTCTCCAAGGGGGGGGGGGAGTCTTTTAAAAGGGAAATCATCATCTTCATCTTCATCATCTTGTCCCGGCCGGCTGCTGTGGTTTTTGGTGCGCTTCTTTCCCGATTGGCTTTGATGAGGCCGGGGAAGGAGCCGCCTCGTGCGGGACTCCGGCGGGGGCGAGCTAATTACCAGCTAGATCCAATATTTGCCCCGGCTCGCCGCCCCGCACCATCGCGCCGCGTTCATGGCGTGCAGGGTTTCGCCCGCAGCTCCGCGGCTGCGAGCATCAGGACCAATAATCTTTACTTTACCTACTGCTCGCGTATCGATAGCTTCTCTCGCCTCAGGCAGCGGCTTTGATATGTTAATATTGCCGAGTCCCAAATTCTGCAGAGATCATATTAATGTTGTACATACAGAGTGGAGCTTTGCCTTAAAAGTTGAATATTCAGATCGCCCGTTTCAAAAGAAATCACGCGAAGAAATGAAGCCTCTATTTACAGGAGTCGTCTGTGGTTTTTAATCATTTTTTTTTTCTCTTTAAAAAAAAAAAAAAATTCGCCTCCCTTATCCTCTCCTCATTAATCGTCTCTGGCTTTTATTAGAGGCTCGTTCCCTTTCAATCCCTCGCATTTTGAAGCGGAGGACCCGGCTTTCTGTTTGATTTCTGGGCGCTCCCCGGCCCCCGCGCAGGAAGCGGGGGAGAGCCGGTGGTCTCCCCTCCAAATATCGGGATGAAAAAGGCAACGCGGTGACATTTGGCCCGTGCCGTTTTATGAAGCCGAGATGGCAAACTCCAAAAAAAGCGCGTGTTTCGCTTTGTGATCATCCCTCCTTCCCGCCCCAGGCTAATTTCAGAAGCTTAAATACTGCTATCGCCTCTGGGCCAGGAAGAGAGAAGGGCCGAGCTATCGGCAGTCGCTCTCTTTCGATTGCCCTTGGCAACATAAAATACAAACTACTTTGAATCAAAACATTTTGGGGGAATTAATGTGATCTGAACCCGGCGCGTTTGCAGAGATCTGGAGTTTGTCAAATCGCTTCGAGGTGACTGACGTGCGGATGCGGAGCCATTAGTGCCTCGCTAGGAACAGTGTCAGATCTTATTTGATTAAAAAAAAAAAAAAAAAAAAAATCAACCCGAGCCTTACAAAGCCCAGCATCAGTCGCCGGCAAAGCTGCCAATAAAATCCGGGGGAAGACTCCTCGCTTCTGCCTTTTATGTGTTTGCTTCCTCCCCTTGATCAGTCTGTCTCAAGTGCGGCTTTAACTGGAGATACTTCAGCTCGGGTCCAAGGATGGGGAGGCGGGTGGGGATCAAACACCCTTTATTGGGAGGGGGGTTCACTTGGGCCCCGAGAAGAGTTTTTGCTTTCTAAGAGAGCCAGCACTGGCAGAGGAGGCTGGGATGCTCCGCAGAAAGAGAGGCCAGGTTGCCTCTCCCTGCTCTCCGGGGTCTCAGGGATGGGAAGCTGGGGCAGCAGAGGTAGGGTCGGCAGCGGGGAAAGGATTGTGCTCCCCTGCTTGCAAAATCCCCCCTCTCCCTTATGTCTCCAAGGCTGCCCACCTTTCCAGCTCTAGGTCCCCCCTTTGCCGACCCCACCCCCCCTTTGAAGAAGCCGCAAGAGCAAAAGTCAACCCGCAAGAACAAAGGGGCTGCGGTCACGTTGCGAAAGGCTGGGAAGTGACCTAAGGTTTCCTTTAGCCCCTCAATTAAGAGCGGGCAGAGGATTGGAGGGGAGGGGGGGATCCCACCACCCCCTCCACTGGGACAGCAGAGCAAGGGATCCCACTTCGTCTTCCAACATTGTGTCCTTGCCTTTATTGTCCCGGTCCTCTACTTGCTGCTCCTCCAGCTCCTATCTGGGGAAGCGCCTCTCCATAATCTCGCTAATCCCGTAATACACCTAATCGCGCCCCGGGTCATGCTCCACCGTAATTAACACCGCGGTCTCCTTTTTTCAGAGGCCCATTTGAAACGCATTACATCCTAAAGCGCTTGTTTCATTACCACGGGGGGCGGGGAGGGGTAAAACACCTTGGCTGGTCCGGAAAGGAGGTGATTGTGGGTTTGTCGTGCCCAGAAAAGCAGCGGCTCCTGGAGGGGCTCGTGGCACGGCTCTGAGAAGCGCGGCTGGTAGGTAGGTAGCCCCCGAAGAGCTGGAGAGGGCTTCGTTGAAGGCGTCTGAGAGTCGTGTGGCCAGGCACGAGCATCAGCTTGCTCACACACACACACACACACACACACACACACACACACGAGCAACACAAGGGTTGCCACGCAGCCGTGCTAGAAAGGCATGGGGCCACACACCCCCATGTAGGCTAATAACAGACGATCCAGTCAATTCGCGGCTGATTGCTCCAAGCTTTAACGCGCATCAAACGAGCCGCGGGACCGTCCTTTACGCGCTCTTGTTCATTGGACGGGCAATCAACTCCACTTACCCCACTTGTCCCCCGGCTCTTCACAGGTCACAGGCCCTTGGAGTGAGACAATGGGCTTGTAGGTCTGTAGGGACCGCCCCCCCCCGAAATAAAAGGCTTTGTCCTGGGAGAAATCCCGTCCTTTGCG